TCTAACTTGACCTCAGTTTTTTCATTTGTACTCCTTCTCTTTGGGTGGTAAGATAATTTATAAGCCAACTACCATGGTCTGCCTTATGGTGCAAGCAATTTTCTTAATTGTGAAATTGAAGATACCAAATGATCACTTGTCATTTTACTACAGTGAGCAATTAGTTAGATCTGTTCACAATTAACTTTTAATTTTAGCTGTCAGTGTGGCAGGTAGAAAGCTAACCACATAAAGTTTAATTGAGACCACTGAAAAATTTTGCCCCTGTGTAACAATAGATGCATTTTTTTTTACCTTGAATTCCAAAATTCTTAGCTGAATTAAAGAGCCCTATGAATAAAACTCTTGGGTACTTTTATATAGTTGATGGAGAGAAAGCCATTAGCTTTTATAATTGACAGAATAGAATTAATTGAAGCGAACATATCTCCTGGTTAATTCAATTCAATGTGTAAATCTTCTTTTAAAAACACTAGGGGGAGAAACTTTAATAAGTTAAATAATTCTTCCTAGGATTTATCCATTAGCTGTAAAGGTCTTGAGTTTCCTAATGGGCAATGAAGTACCAAAGGCATCATGGATACTTGATCTTGTCTGACCTTAATGTCTTCTATTTAGCACTGTAGGAAGTTTTTCTGTCATCTCCCAAAATAGTTGCAGTCACAATGAACAATTGGAGAAAAATTTGCTTTTATCCACTGAAGTCACTCATTATTGCTCATGATTTCTTACTTCTAAAGTCTCACATCATTTGTCCCTTAGGGGAGCTGTCAAAATTACAATCGATTTACCTGGTAACAATTTACATTTATTGAATCATGGGAAAATGTTACTCTTATTGATTGTAATTTCATCAGACTTCTTGTTTAAGGACTTGTTTATTGATACAAACATATCTAGGTTTTTTTCCTATTCTGCACAGAGATGTGTTAGCCCTCTTCTCTTTAAGAATGTTGGAAATACTTGGGTCCATTTATCAAATCTGCTAATGATATGGTACTTTGTTTTTAATCCCAGTTGGGGATAATTAATGCAATTCCATTAGCTGATCATAGTTTTAAATGTGTAAAAGGGAAACAGTATGGGGGGTAGACTCATCACTTAAAAATAATTTAGAACCGGGAAAGATAATCATCATTTATGCAATGCCCACTTCTACTAGATGCTATGCTAGGTTTTAGATATGTTACCTCATGGCTCAGTCTATTCAAGCTGCTATAATAAAATACCACAGACCAAGTAAACAAGAGAAATTTATTCCTCATAGTTTTGAAACCTTGAAAGTCCAAGATCAAGATGCTGGTGGATTTGGGGTCTCCTGAGGCCTTTGGGTTCATAGATATGGCCTGTTTTTACTATATCCTCATGTGGTAGAACGGACAAGGAAGCTCTCTGGGCTCTCTTTCATTAGGGCACTAATCCCATCTATCATGACTTTATTATCTCTGCAAAAGCCCCACTTCTAGTACCATTACCTTAGGGCTTAGGCTTTCAACATACTAATTTGAGGAGCTCAGAAACATTTAGATCATAGCATCTTATTTTAATTTTCTATATATTGACTATTTTAAGTAATTGTGAAGTAATTTCTCTTAAGTTTAAAACGATTGTTTAGAATTCCTTACCCCTAGAAAACCTTGCCCTGGGTTTAGGAAAGATATCAGACCCATACTCTTTAACATGTTTCCTGTTGACTTAGTCCCTACAGGCTACGGACTAACTGCAAACTAAATCATGGCTCTTGAAATCTTGATATCTGTCCATTAAGCTTAAACTGGAGTGAACAACACATTTTACACAGACAGAAAAAGGCTCATTCTAATCAAGACTGTGAGTACATGCTTGTAATCCTAGTGGCTCAGGAGGCTGAGACAAGAAGACTGTGAATTCAAAGCAAGCCTCAACAATTTAGCGAGGTCCTAACCAACTCTAGGAGACCCTGTCTCTAAATAAAATACATAAAAGAGCTGGGGATGTGGCTCAGTGGTTAAACATTCCTGAATTTAATCACTGGTAGCAAACAACAAGAAAAACAATAAAAAAAACCCATAAAACTGCCCAAAACAAAAGAAATAAAAAGGGCTGTGGGAAAATACCCTCAGCTCCTGCAATGCTTCATCAAATGTATGTATCCAAATGATACCAGACTCCAACAAGATGATATTAGTCCAAATTATCTTCCTTTAGCAGCTGTCAGATATGTCAGGGTTTTCCTGTAAATATTTCTGACATCTTGTTGGCAGATTCCTTATTGGATGCAAATTGATCCAGGAAGGTGTCAGAGTGGATAATTAATCCTTCTTGCCTTTTGACTGTTAGGAAGATGTTCACAAGGCTTTTGTTAGGGCAAAAATTAATAAAAGGGCACTAAGGAAGAAGTCACTAAACACTGAGAAAATGAGTGTGGGGAAGACACTATTTTGAACAAGCTTCTAAATTCTCAGTTTGAAAACTGCAGAGAAATGAATTGCAATATCTCTATATAATTATTCCAAAAACCAAACGAGAGTTGTAATCTTATGTTTCTCCAGGGAGCCACTAATAAGTATGACCTTTCAGTTTAAAAAGATAAGAAAGCATCATATTCATCATATTGCTAAAACTATAATTTGCACATCAGAATATGATTGAAGAAACAGGGCATTTACTCAAACTTCCTATAAATTGAAGATGAAATTTTTCAATTTTCATAATTCATTGTACTCTTATTTCCTGATATTCATCCGTCTTTGGGGAAGCATAGGAGAAATACCTCCTTCTAATTTAAGGTCATCTGCACAATGTTGTTGGCAAAAATAATAATGACAGAAATAAATCCTATCAATTTAAACATAGAAGTTAGTCAGGAATCATGGCTAGAGATGTTTACACTCATTCTCCTGAAAACCTCCAAGGATTAAAAAATTGTAATCTGGACTAAGAAAATATTTTCCAAGCCTCAAAGTCATATGATTTGTAAACATATGACATCATCTCATTGTGCTGTTTCTGTTACAAGAGAACTCTGATAATCACAGAGGAGAAGAAATGATGATTTCCTTCCAGGCTCCATGCAGCACTTCCCATAACTGATGCAGAAAAAGTAGGCAATATGGGAATCTTGGAATAAAACAGGAAAACCAACCTTGGTGAATGACTGTGCATTGGAGGCTGGCTAAACATCAGGCTCCCAGACGTGTTCAGCTTCTGGTCTGAAGGAGCAAAAAACGGCCGAAGCTCAAGAGTAGGGAGCATATCACCATTCTTAAGATCTGCCTATAGATTGGTGGTAGAAGTTTCAAAAAGAAATCAGGTCACTAAAGCCTCCAACTACCACACTGGAGTTGGGACAGAAGTCTAGCCAAGGGGTTTGGAATTCAAGACAGAAACCCTGTCTGAAGAGAAAGTCTAGAGGGCAGTAGACAAGAAGAACTGGTTTAATTTATTATAATTATGTTAATTATAATCATGATGGAACCTGATAAAGGGACAATTACTATTTTGCTTAATTATATTCTGTGACATATATGATTCTAGGGGAAGGGTAGGGAGGGCAATTTGATGAATTTCTCTTACCTCAGACAGGGTTGCTTCAGGTCACTGGATGAGTCTAAGCTTTGCAGGAAGAGACATAGAAGACCTATCAGGAATGCAGGAAAAGAGAGTGTAGAAGGAGAGGAGCAGGAAACCAGACATACAAATGCAAAATCCTTAGTCTGTTCAGCCACAGGACCAGCATGCTAGCTTCATACTAGAGGTTCTAAACATAGAAATTAACTAGTAAGTTCAAATTAAAGAGACATGACTCTCAATTACCTTTTTTGCCCAGCTCAGAGATGGCTCCTCCCAGCTCTTGCCTCTAGCCACCTGATGGGATGCGGTAGCGAGGTTTACACAAGAGGCCAGCAAGAGAGAGAGAAACATGCCAGGGAGTGAGCTTTTAATGGGGAACAAAAAAGTTCAGGGGAAAATTCCATCCAATGAAGGTCGAGGGGGACAGCATTCCAAGGTCAGGGTCAGTGATTGGATCTCAGGTCAGTGGTCAGGCACATCCCCACATGGACAAGCCCTTGCACCTGGGGAAGGGTGGGGAAGGCTCTGACACAGTGTGTCCAAGCGCCTCACACCCAGCGAGGGAGGTAGCTCAAATCACATGCAAGAATGGCTTCCCACAGTCTGTGATGGGACCCTACCAATGGAGTGGATTGCTTATTTTCTTAGCCCTTAAGACTGTCTTGAACATCTCTTGGGAAATTTTTCCTCAGGGTGCTTCATAACTTGAGAGCTGTTGGGTGTATTTTAAACACTCTTTGCTAAAACTCAGAGTAAGCCAAACATCAACAACAAATGATAGTATGCACTTGAAGACTAGGTATTTTCTTCCTTTTGTAGTCTGTGTTGTAGCAGGAAGGAAAGAATAAGGAAGATTCTAAGTGAAGAACATTCATGCATTTTTGTTGTGGAGAGGAATATATGATTATAGACACACTTCAATCATAATGAATGAATGCTAATTTTTAAAAATCATAGTCAGGTGTGGTGTACAAGCCTGTAATCCCAGAGACTAGGGAGGCTGAGGCTGGAGGATGGCAAGTTCAAAGCCAGCCTCAGTAACTTAGTGAGACTTTGTCTCAAAGAGTAAAAGGTCTTGGGATGAAGCTCAGTGGTAAAGCACCCCGGGGATCAATCCCCAGTACCAAAAAAACAATGTTTTATAATATTATGTGGTCATCTATTTTCAACCTGGCTAAGCATGACCACAAAATGAAAACATGCAGTAAAATGAAAACATGGTTTTATGTTTTTACTGCTCTTCAAGGTGTAATTTGCTGCTCAAGTAAACACTTATGATGTTTATGTAACATTTATGCTGAGGATAATGTAACGGTGGTTCACTTTCCAGATGGCTATTAACGGCGTAACTCTGAAATGTTTTACACAGTAAAGAACTAGTTGGGACACAGAACAATTAATTGAATGATAAAGGTTATCTGACTGAAATTCAGTATTCTGTCTTGTAGAGGGAAAAGGAGACAGCTTTGGCTCTGGGGGAAAGAGCCACAAGATAGCCACTAGGACAAAGAAACAGAAGAACACAGATAGGGGTCTGCGCAGAGGGAAGGTACTTGGGATCATATGGGGTCAACTTAAGACGCAGGTGCCAGGGCAACGTCTTTCATGTTTGTACATGCCAAAGTCATCCTCAATGTCCAACAACAGAAATCAAATGATAACATTAATTAATTATAAATATATGAAATCAAATACGCCAACATGAAATACTGCCAGACTCTTTTCTTTGAAGCTACCTCTTTGAAGAGATGTGTGTTCGAATACTTGACAAAGCCATCACAATAGCTATTTTGAAAATCAAAGAGAAAAAAAAATACAGAATAGAGATCTATTTTCATCAGGGTTTGAGTGCATGTGCTTTTTGGCTTGTTGAGACTGACATGGATAGGAGTGGGCTTCATTTTTAAAACTCCATTTTCAGTATTTGCTGCTATGGTTTTTCTGATGATTTGCCCTAGATATTTCTATAATTATAAAGTGTGGGCTTGTTCATCATTTATTCCAAGTGGCTTTCAATAACATAGTATTTTTAGATATCTACTTTAAATCAGATATTATTAGGCTCAGGTCTAGGTATGCTAATGATAATAAAAGCTATTATTTTTATTGACCCTTACCACACACCAGGGATGTTCTTTCTTTTTTTAACAGAATCTCATTTTATGCTCAAAATAGTCATAAGGCAGCCTTTATTTCCCCTATTTTGTAAATGTGGAAACAAAAATTCATAGAGGAAAAATAATTTGATCAAGATCTTGTAATTAACAAATGGCAAAGTCCTTGATACCCTGATATTGAATCAACTTTATTCCACTCCCCAAGCAACTGAGTCCTGCTTGACAGTGTCATGTAACAGCATCACCAAATACAAGTGTCCCCTCAGCAGTGCCTCCAATGCTACAGCACCCCCTGCTCCATTCACCTGATCAACTCTTCAGTCTTTCCCCCTTACTCTGAGCAGATGGAATTGCCTCTTACTTCAAACATAAACTGAAGTATTCAGGAAGGAGCCCTTTATGTCGTGTAATCAACCACTGGAACTCACCACATGGACACCTAGCCTCTTGTCTTCCTCTTGTTAGGGGCACCTCTCCTAGGGCAGTGAACTCCCCGTCTTCCCTTCACCTCCTCATGACCACAGCACCGTCACTTCCCCTTCCCCTCTACTGGGTACTGATTATGAAGTGAGCTCAGTGCTTAGGGTGATTGTCAGGGGCAAATCTTATTTGTTCTTATATGTTTTTAACATATAAAATTAATGTTTAAAACAGTGTTTTGACACATAACTCACACTGCTGAAGGACGAAGAAGACAATGAAGACCGTGAAGAGGTCCATCCACACTGGGCAGCCATTCTTTTCTCCACTGGAAACCAGTCTCTACCTCACTTCCATTTTCTCTGCGGTAAGGCCTCAGGAAAGGTATGAAGAGTGGATCTATTTTGTTTTTAAAGTACAGCACCATGTTTGCATGTATTTTGGGAATAGCTGTGGTTTTAAAGCGGGAGGGTGCTTCCTAACTTGAGAAACAGGTTTAATATTCTTCCATTGCAAAAAAAAAAATGCTATCATATAAAAATGTCGACTGCAGATAATACACCCAAATGGGTGTTTCGGGAGCTAACATTATGATACCCCAGAATTATAAAAAGATTTTGGACTCCTGAATATTGTTTTTCCTCTTGCTTTGCTCCCACATTCTCTCAAAGTTTCCTGGCAGAATAATTAATGTATTAGTTTCAACATTTCATGAGGAAACTATAAAATTTCCATTAGAGGCATCTCTTAGGGGCCACCTAATTTAAAGTAAAGTATAAAGTAAGTTGGATGTGGAGACAATTGCCTGGAAATTTTTTTTCTTCCAGTTATTTTAAATAATTTATTAATTTCAATAAATAGTCATGAACCAAATGCACTTTTATAAAAAAAAAAAAAAAACTTGAGCCTTTGAAGTGATATTATTTGAAAGCTTCCGAAATTGCAGGCCAAATTGTCTTTTCTATTTCCACAATTCTCTTTCTCCATTTGCCTTCTGTTTTTAAAAATAATAATTACCTTTTGATGTATCTAGACTATTAGCACAGCCTACACAATTACTGTGTAATTGAATAATTTTTGTTGTTGTTATCAAAATCCCAGAATACCAAGAAGATCAGAATCAGAGTGAAAAAGAAGGTGCTGATTTGGCTGGAGAATATGGAAAATAAACAAAAACACATGGAATCATATAGGTCAGTCTTTTCATGTCTATAATTTGTAGACCATGCAGGTGGAGAATCAATTACTTCCTACAACTGAGCCCATGATCAGGAAGAGGAATGGTCAACCCCAGGCCTCTGCATTCCTTTCCATCCATGCTGCTCCAAACAATGTGGGTGCCAAGATGTAGGAAATGAAAAACATGCATCCCTAGACAAGCAAAAGTTTGTTAAAGGCAGGATGCTAGAACCATATCTATGAACATTTTCTAATAGTTCATAATTTCTTTTCATCTCAAGAAAAATCTAAAATATGTTCTATGCTTTATTATTATAATGATAGTGGGTACCACAAGGCTTTTTAATGTAAGATCTTAACTGCTTCTGATTAATCTTCTTAAACATAAATTATGGTATATAATGAAAAAACATTATCATAAATGAATAAATGCTTACCTAAATGACCTGTATTTGAAATGTCATGCAACTAAGTGAGCCTACTCAGTGTCTCTGCATCTCAGTTTATAGATCTGTAAAATGTGGATCATACCTGTTTTGCTGTAAGGATTTTGAGAGTCACAGAAGATCTAGGTGAAATGTTCTTTAAATTATAAAATGTTTCATAATTGCATGGTGATAGGAAATTTGGCAAAAGGTACAGTGGTAAAAATAAATGTACCCAGGAAAATCCAGGTGGTTAATTTTCTGGAGATTTCAGAGGGAGATACATGAGTGAATTCACCATGATCTGCAATTTGGTTCTCAGTCTTTGCATGGTCAGAGACGAAACTCAGGTAAATTGACTCACAATAACTGAATTCATAACCTGCTGATCTATAAAGTATTAAGAAATGTCCTAAAGTTTAATGACTAAAATGTTCATGTTCCCTTAGCAGTGCCTCACCTTTCTGGAGTGAGAAAGGACATAGACAAGGGAACTTTGTAAAGAGGATGTGAGTTTCTTTGTTATGCTACAAATATAAAAATACACTATAGCACAGTGAGCTGGTTCTTGTGAGAGATATTTTATTTAGATCAAAATAAAACACAGTGCATCCTCTCCACTTCAACAGTAGGCTGCTGTTGGGTGGCTCTTTCCCCTGTAAAGTGTTGAATAAGCATTGCGGAGCTCTGGACCTCTGACTGTTGCAGCTTCCCTTTTTAATGCTCTGGGCTAGCTGTCCTCCTTCTATTCCATCTTTCTCCATCCAGGGTGAAATGCAGTTTCTTTCTTTTGCTTACAATTTGCAAACACCTTGCAAGCATGTCTTCCTGTAATTACATCCAGATCAAACTGATTGGTGTTTTAGTTGTTTCTGAACTTTCCAATCACACATTTAAAGGTAGTTCTCAGTTCTCAGAAAAAAAAATCTCATTAAATTTTTGAATTGTGTGAGTTTAACTTTCAGAGGGTAACCTGTTTCTTCTTCTTTCCAAGTTCTTGAAAGTCACTTTTACTGCTTCATTCTCATGCTATGTAGAAAAGTGTTATCATATCTATAACTAATTTGAATATTTGATAGGAATTTAGATAGAGATGATTCCTGAATAAATCTAAGAATTCTTTTTCTATTTATGTGCCTTCTCAAAAAAATGAAGTCCTTAAAACATTATTCAAAAATTGTGTTTTCTAGCAACTTGAGATTTTTCTTAATTAAGAAACAATACTTTCTAAACTAATTTTGAATTTTTCAGCATAAAATATGGTATGGCAAGTCTAAGGGCGTAGCCACAGCATATAATAATGGTAATGTTTGCTGGTCTTGTGCCTTCATAAAATTTTCAGTCTACAAAGTGTCTTAAGGATTATTGACCCTCCCAACTCTTTGTTACTGTGTCAGAGAGAACTCTCGGTGCCAGAATTAAGTGTCTTGACCATGGAATAGAGACTTAAAGCATCCTGGGGAGGAGGTTGTAAAGCCTAAAGGAGCTGAGCTTCAGTTTAAAGGATGGTCAGTGAAATCAGAAGCAATGGGAAAAATTTCACCTATTCTTTAAGATGGGGATGGTAATATCTCCCACACCCTAATTTACTTTTGTTTTAAAATATTTTTAGTTATAGATAGACATAATACCTTTATTTATTTATTTATTTTTATGTGATGCTGAGGATCGAACCCTGTGTCTCATACATGCGAGGTTAGCGATCTACCATGAGCTACAACTCCAGCCCCTTATTTAGTTTTATTTTTTATTTTTTTTTTCATTGCACCTTAATTTATTTTAACTTATATCACTTTGTGGTATAATTTTGCCTGTTACCTATCTCTAGCTCAGTTGGCTTTTATTATTATTATTCTTCATATTATTTTGTGCTACTTGGTGTGAAAGCCAGGGTTGCTGTACCACTGAGCTCCACCTACAACCCATTCTGTTGTTTATTTTGACATAGGGTTTGCTCAATTGCTGAGGCTGGCCTTGAACTTGTCATTCTTCTGGCTTCAAAGCCGGAGTAGCTGGGATTACAGATGTGTCTCATGTGGATATTAAATCCATCCAGAGGTGGCACTCTAGCTTGTTTCTGTTTTTGCTGTTATCTGGCACAAAAAAAAATGTCCTTCCACAAATAACAATTGACGATTGAATTAATAAATGAATGAACCCCAAAATAAAGATAATGAGGGTAACTCTAGGCAAATTATTGTGATAATCCAATTTCACTTTCAAAAAAACTTCTCAGTTAGAATAGTTAACAGTTCCCATTTGGGAGAGGCTGACCTGCATTTAGCACTGAATATTCTGCCCTTTAGAAAAATCTCTCAGAACCAGACACACAGGATGTTTGATTACCTTTTACCTCATGTCTTCCCACTGGTGTGCTGGAGGTGGCTTGTCCTGGATCATGAGAGTCAATTGCATATGTTTCTTCTCAAAACTGAGTTCAGTCACATGCTGTAGCTAGAGATCAGTCATGGTGGGAGAATTACACCAGGAAAACTGGCAAACACTACAGTTGGGGTTTCTCTTAGGATTAGTTGTAGCATGTTTCTCAGTAAATCACTGCTTCTGCCATTTCTTAGCTACCTTCTATAGTGCATCTATGGGTTTCATTAAGTCCTCTGCCTGGGCACAGCTTACTGAAGGCCCCAGTCACATTTCTGTACCAACACCTTTCCCATTTTTCCCCATCTACCTAAGTGCCTAGGTTCACTTTTGTAGGGTCTTACTTTTGTTAGATGCCTGATAAGTGGATCACTCTGAAGGGTTACTCTTCAGGTTGCATAGTTTCACTTTAAGAAGGGTTGTCTAAATTCACTACTTTGTCAAAAGAGCTGAGAAGCAAGAATGGTGGGCTTTGATCTTTTTTTTTTTTCTTTTTTTTTTCTTTTTGTGCCTGAGGACCAGTTTCATGTACAATAAACTTGTGGTTTTCAGGAGTGGATCCTGAGCTTGAAGGTCATTGACCTTACACAATTTTAAATTGTGTAATAAAAAAGAATAAAAATCCTTTTTATTAAAAGAGCACAAACTGTCAAATTAAATACTAGTACAAAGGTTAACTATTGTTTAGATTTAGAGGCAAAAATCACTAGCTATTACTCAAGGGTTGGGAATTCAGATTCTTTATTTCTAAGATCTCTTTTGGTAATTTTTCAAGGATTCTTAGACAAATGCTTTTTTTTTTTTTTTTTTGCAACAATACAGTTCCCAGCAATTCTGGTACTCTCAGGGACCCATGTAAATAAGGGCCTCTAAAGCTTAAGTTTAGCTTCCTTCTAAATCTTCCCCTGGCACTGGCTGCCACTATGTGCAGGATGCTGGTGCTACTTGCCACTTTCCTGAAGAACACCTAGAGGCAGTTATGATGTGATGGTAAGAGGTAGAATTGGTTCACCCATACTCTAGGCATTGTTTTGCATTGATTTGCAACTCAGGAAAAGGCACTAAACATTTCTTCTTAACTTTTTTTTTATCATTTATGGAATTGGGGATTGAAACCAGGGCTTTGAGGATATGAGGCACATACTTTGCCACTGAGCTACATCTCAGCCTGACACTAAAAAATTTCTAAGCTTTGTTTTCTATCCAAATACACTATATCTTCATTATTTGTGGATTTCATACTTGTAACTTTCTCATTTTAAAAAATTTGTTTGTAACTCCCAAATCAACCTCAAGGTACATTTGCAGTCATTCTCACATGTGCACAGAACAGGGAAAATTTTGAGTCATCTAAGCACATATTCCCACCCGAGGTCAACTAGGCAATGGCATGTCTTCTTGTTTCAGATCTCCTACTGTGAACAAGGGTCCTTGGTGCAGCTTATTAAGTCCCAGTTTTTCACATTTTGTGCTTTTTCTTGTAGATTTTGCTGTTTTACCTGGCATCCCAAGAGTAGTGATAAAGTAGTCTAAATATTTATAGTATAAGAAGGCTGTGCAGTGCCTCATAGAGAAAATATTCTTTTTAGATAAACTTTTTTTTTTTTTGCAGGCATGAGTTATGATGCAGTTGGCCATGAGATAAATAAATAACTCAACAATACAAATAATTAACAAATAAATCATCCAGGAAAGAGAGGATAACAGTTGGTGATCTTTATGTAAGGCCACCCCAGAGGTCCTAAAGTAATGTCTGTAGTGTTTGATGAATCTATAGAAAAAAATGAAAAAATAATTAAATTTATAGATTCATGAGATTAACAACCAATTTTTTAAAAACACGTATAACAGACAACATTGTTTTAAGGCTGATAGTCAAAGAAATTTACAGTTGTATTATGTAGGGTCAGAAAAAATTCAACTGTTCTAAGCTAATGCTTTATAAAAATACTGCATAGAATTAATTACTTGTGAGAAGTATGTGTTAAGATGTCTTTAAAAAGAGACACAGGAAACCAAGGGTATTAGATAGGTTGATGAAAATATTATGCCTAGAGGCTCACAGGAGTTCTACCTTGTGTTTCCCTGGGCAGCTATGGTCAGGATTTGCTAATTCTGTGTGTATGGTGAAGTTACAAGGCCTAACTTCCATGAACCATAAGAATCTATATAGAAATATTCAGACTTTTAGTCATTTTTCCACGTGGTGC